TCCGTCCTCCCCTGCTCACTCAGACCTCCGCCTCGACTGCTCCATCGCCGGCGGCGACGGGGTACCCGCAGCTGTTCCTTGGTGTTAGGCGCATCCAAATTTCCTGGGAGGAGTTGGGGCATCCGATGGCGGGGGACACTCAAGTTGTGCAGTCACCGCCGCCGTCACCTCCGCCGCTGACACATCCTCCCTCTGTCGATACTGATCCCCCCTCCCCGCTGTCTCCGGAGGAGATCTCGTCGCCGAGCTCCCCTCCACGCCACAGAGGAGGTCGTGTTGAGCAGCGCGTTAGGCAAGTGGGAACTTGCCTGGCCCTGTTGGCGATGGTCCTAGACCAACTGCATGCATACCAGATGCAGCTGTCACGTCCTGAGGATGTTCCTCCAACGATGTCGCAGCTGGAGTAGGAGGAAGCTGCTGCGGCGGCGATAGAGATGCTGCGGATGTTGCCCGCGATCGTACTGGTGCCTAGCTCCCCTGGCTCCGCCTTGGGGCCTGGCCCTGCTTCGCTGAGGCGGCTTGCTCTTGCCGCCCTGCAGGCCCCACGGGACATCGTACCAGCCGCCGCAACCGTGCTGCGCTGGTTGGACGGGCGGTTGTGTTGGATCCTGGCCGAGTAGCGGCCCCATTCTCTTTGCTCGCCTGCTTGGTTCCCGGCCTAGCCTTGGGCTTCCCCATGGTGGTTACTCCACGCCTGGGGGTGTTGTTCTTGTTGTGTATTGTCACTGATGCATGTTGTACCACTCCTTGTTATAATGCTTGCCTTCCCCCTTTCCTTGTCACACCTCACGCGAGCCGCCAGCTTTTTTAGAGTTAACTGAACTCACTAGTGAATAATGAGCCCCATGGGCAAGGAACTAGGGACTTTATACTAGGGAGGCACTACTGAAAACGGCTAAGGACTAAGGACTAGTCTAGAGAGGCTAAAAAAAAACGGCTAAGGACTAGTCCCAAGCCATCCCCGGCCTCCTAAGCCACTTATGTATGTATAGGGCTCATAAGGTACAAGCATGGCAGATGGTGGCTACTAGATTGTCTAAGCATGTATGCGACCGTGAGGCTAAGATAGCAAAGCCATCAAGCAAACAAGCCAGCAAGCAAGACAAGTGATGCCACATCGTCAGAGTGTGCACACACTGAACACCACACACGAAGGCACCCCAGCCGGCCAGCATCGAGGCCACCGGTCCCACATTCCTCCTGCTCCCGATCTTCCCACCTCGCTCCTAACTCGTAGTCCTTAATCCTCTTCCCTACCGCTAGCTAACATCTCCCTGCCACTGCCTTCGTTCCATCCCCGGCTTCCTAATCCGCTATAGCAGGAGCTTGACGCTCCTCATACTCGTCCTCCTACATCTGCCAGAGGTCCCCCAGTCGAGGGGCCCAGGGGTCCACCGCCGCTTCTGCTGCCCGGTTTGACTTACAGAGGGGTGAAGTCGCCTGGCTGCGTTGGAGCATCACCGACCACCGCTGCCGGTATTGTGCGTTGAGGCGGGCTGCAGTGGTAGTGAGGCGCCCCTGGCGGTATTTTTTCTTTGCCGAATAGGTAGCCAACATACGGAGGAACTGCTGGGTGTCAGCCGCTAGAGGCCCATAGGTCTCAACCGCCAGGCTGAAGGAACCGACGTAGCTAGGACACCCTTCGTAGAGCCGGTGCTTTGTCTGCGAAGCCTCCTCAGATGCCCATCCTGGCGGCTTCCGGGCCCTCACATCCCTCCTCTGCAGAACCGGGTCAGTAACTGTCACGTCCGTAGCCCAAGTCTCGCCCGATTCCTGGTCCTTGATGGCAAGGTCGGCCCATCTGCTCAGGACAGGGGGCGAGAAAGCGGTCTTCTCGTGAAAAGTCTTGTACCCCGCCTCCTGCGCCATGCGCATAGCAGCATGGACCAGGGCGTTGTGGGTGCGGATGGCGTCTCCGCCATCCGCACAACGTAGCAGGTGGTTCGGCAAACTCTTGTCGACTATTGTGGAGTTTGATCTATTGCAAGGGCAGACCTCCGCTACCGGCAGCTCTATGCCAAGGTGCAAGCCTTGTGCCATGGAGAACTGACCAGGGGATATTGAAAGGTCAGCTCTCGTGGGCACTGCATGAAGCCAGTTACCGGCTCCCACTCCTTTCAGACTAATGAGCCAAATAGCATGGCCCCGGTCCACGCCTGGCGTGTCAACAATAGTATCCGCCAGTAGCTCATCCGCCCGCGTATGGTTAATGGCCTTGGAAAGCCCCAATTGCAAGTTGTCCACGTGTGGTTCTCCCTGTAGCTGCGTAGAACCACCTGTGCCTGTGCTGGGAGCCTTGCCTCGAGTGGGGACAGCGGGTTCACCCGGGGGGGAGGTGGGGTCCATGTGGGGGAGAGCAGTTCCCTAGCCCTGTGAAGTAGGTAGTCTGGCGGCAGGCTCAGCTGCTGTAGTAGAAGCTGCGCCACTGCAGTCGAGGCGAGGTACGTGGCCGGGGCTTCAGAGATGGGATGAATGATTCCCAGGCCCCCCAGCCGAACAAAGAGCGTTGCCTTGCGCCAGAGTAGGCTTTGCTCTAGCTCTCTCGACGGGATCTATAGCTTCGATGCCGTGAGCCCTGCTCCTACCAACACTTCGCTCCACTCCCTCCATTCCGTATGAGCTAGTGCCTCCGCTGGTGTTGTGCGCAGTAGGTACGAGATGCGGAGGGAGATGCTACGGGAGAGCATGAGGAGGACATGCTACGGGTTAAGTTGGGAGAGCTAGTGCCTCCGCCGGTGTTGTGCGCAGTAGGTACGAGATGCGGAGGGAGATGCTACGGGAGAGCATGAGGAGGGCATGCTACGGGAGAGCATGAGGAGGGCATGCTACGGGCTAAGTTGGGAGATGAGGGGTAGTGGCGCAGCTTCCCCCGTGAGAGCCGCCCGAACCTGTTCGGTGCAGAAAGCGTTGCTACCGATGGGACTGCCCAACACCCTTATACAGCATGGGTGAACAGGCAGACAGTGCGGTAGATAATCTCCCCCCTCCTCCTTCGTGGCACACCATGCTGCCGACGTACTGATGTTTCACCGCAATCCGCATGAAGCAAGCTCCGCCACCACCGTGTTCAAAGCTACGCATGCTGCTAGACGGGGCCCGGCAATGGTGATATCGTCAGCATTTGCTACTACCGCCACCTCCGAGACGCTCATGGCCACACTAAGCAGTATGGGCTGGATAGCCCGCGAAGAGAAGGGGCCTTAGCGAGTCCCCTTGGCGAACACCCCTGGAACTCTGGATGTGATCTACTTCGAGACGTGGGCCCACCAAAAGGCGCGAGGGTACATCATAGAGGTTCCGGACGAGCGGGAGCCTTAAGTGTCGACCACGGGAGGGCGGAGAGAAATGAAGCGTGCTCAACGCTATTGAATGCATTCTCCACATCCAGCTGGAGAGCTATGCGGGTCTCGTCTTCTTTGAGGAGGGACCGGACCGTGTGGATAATACAGTCAGCACCTCCTAGGACAGCTATGCCAAACTGAACGGGAAGGAAGAACTCTCGAATCTGTGCGGGCCTAAGCTGTGTAGAGCTGCTTTTGCCACCACGCGAAGTAGTGCCTCTCCCATTGCAATCGGTCTTACTCCTCCCCCAGGCTTCTTTTGTGCTATAAGACAGGAAGGGAGTAGTAGGTCGCGGACTGGTTGGCTCTGGAAAGAACTGGCGAGACGGTTAACCACGTTCGCCAGGAGCAGCAGTATTTCCTCAATCGCCAGGGCTGGGTCTCTCAGGTGTTCAAAACAACAGCCCGAGGGTCCCGCTCCTACCCCATTCGGGCACTTCGCGAGGATTTCGCGAAGGGCTTCCAGCGGGACACTGATCTCCCGAGCCGGTGATCCCAGTAACCCAGGTCGGCGTTGGAGTGCTAGAGGACGGGTGTTTCGCTCGCAGGGCAGTCACCGTCGCCACGTTCGGTTTGGCGAGGGGGCTCATGCGTAACACTGCAAATGTTTTTGAAATGTTACTCTTTTTAATCAAACCCTCTGCCCTTGTGCAAACGCCCTTGCCGTTGTTTTGATGTCTAAGTGGAGCACCCGTGTCAGGGATGGTGCAGGCAGCCTCAAACAAACCATCCCAATCTTCCGGCTAGAACCGATGCAGCCGAGCCTCAACTGATGCCTATCGGCTGCTAGTTACTGGCTCTGGTGATGGACGTAGTGTGAGCCTTGGGAGGTACAGTAGGACCCCCCATGCACGTGGACATTCCGCGTTTGTTGATAGCTGCAGGAGTGGTGCGAGGAGGCACAGGCAATATTTATCCAACACCTGGGGTGGCAACTGTCTGACTAGGAAGGGTTGGTCCATCCGTTGGAGAAGATCCATGGTCCACGTGCCTGCCACCTGCCAGATGGCATCATCCTCTGCCATGGTGGCTGGCGACTTCACTTTGTTGGTGACCGCAGCAACTGGTATAGTCACTCCCGCATCTTGGGATGTTACTCCGTCCACTCTCTCTCCCACGCCCCTCGCTCGATTCCATCCCCTTCCCACCTCCTCCTCGTTTTCCAGTGAAACATCTTCTGACTCTGGCTCCAGTTCCTCACCACACATAAACTCGGGGTCTTCTCTCTCCTCGGCAGAGTCAGTGTCACCCTCATTGGCTGGAGCCTCTGTACGCTCCGGCAAATCGTAGCATTCCCGCCAAGGGCCCGTTCTCGCTTGGATCTCAGATCCCCTTAGGCGCGTGACACCTCCCCCCCCCCCCCCCCCCCCCCCTCCTCCCCCCTCCCTCGCCTTTCGCGGCTAGCTCCGCGCAAACCACGGCCTATCACCGGCGCAGATCGGACCGTGGCCTCCAGTCCCGCGCGTCCCGCCGGCATCCACGGCATGCGGCCTCCCCTTGGAGAACCCCACGTGACGGTGCCTAGCCTCGCCGAGCGCCGCGTGGCGACGTTTTCAGTAGCTGGGGCAACTAGGCTTGGCGATGAGTTCACCAGTGCTTCGTTTTCCCGGTTAGAAACTGACGTCGCTGCTTGGCAGGTTGTTGTGGTCTATGCTTCATTCAATCCGAAGCCCCCCCACCCCCCACCCACCCCCCCGCCGCATGCGGTTGCGCAGATGACGAGGGATGCGCTAGCACTGGTGGCGGTTGCCCTTGCAGAACCCAGCCCAGGAGGGGTCCCGAGAAGCCAGGCCCCAGCCCTGCTCCGGGCCGTCTCGGCGCTGGCTGGGCATGCAGCTTCTTCTTTGACTTTGCCTGCACAGCACCGAAAGCAGCACCATTCGCGGGTCCCAGACTCTCACCCTCCACCTGGCTGTGCTCCGTCCTGTTTGCGGCCGATGCAGCAACAGACGTTCCGGCGCACGCAGCGGCACTCGGCGCGCCTTCCGCCGCCGAGACTCTGCCCTGCTCCCCTGTCGCAGCAGACACCACCGCCGCCAGCACAGCCAACGTTACCGGTGCCGGTGACACGGACTATGCCACCTCCCTGGTCTGCTCCGGATGTGCACACAGCCTCGTCTCCTCAGCCTGCAACTGTGCCACATGTGGGGTGGCAGAGGGTGAAGATGATCCGCCGCCAAAGGCAGCAGCAGAACCACAAGCACGCACCGGACCCGCCACCGTCTCCGCTGCAGGCACGGCAGCAGCAGCCGCCTCAGGCACCGCAGCAGCCACCACCCGGGGTAACGCAGCAGCTGCCGGCTCAGTCACCACTACGTCGCTTTCCCCTGCCCCCCCAGCCGTGGCAGCCTCGTCCCTTGATGTCCCACGTTCCTCCGTCACCTCTCCTACACGCTCCAACCCCTCAGGCAGTACCGGCCCTGACGTCATTCCCTCGGTACTTTTATGGCGGGCCCCATGTGCAACGTCCGCCGAAGCCGGTGACGCCTCCCACCCAGCCACCTCCTCGTGCCGTGGTTCCTAGCAAGCTACCGCTTCGCGTCGAGTAGCGCGTGATGCACGTGGGGACTTGCTTGACGCTCCTGTCATATGTGCTCAACGAGCTTCACGTGACCCTGGCGCAGCAGGGGGTGCAGATCGAGGGGATGCAGCCTGCAGAGCAGTCAGCGGCGGAGTCGGCAGCGGAGGAGTGCAGCATTATCTCCCACTGATTGGCTTTGTGCCGGGATCCCCTTGGGCTGCCCTCCGGCCGGCTCTGAAGCTTTGGCGCGGCTTGCCGATTCTGCCCGGGAAGAACCACTCGACCTTGTAGCAGCAGCCGCGTCCGTCCTACAGTGGCTGGACAGGAGGTTGTGTTGGATCCTTGTTGAGTAGCAGCCGCCTTTCCCTTGCCGGCCCCCTTGGTAGCAGGCATGGCCTTAGGCTTCCCCATGGCGGTGCAGTCACGCCTGAGGGTGTTGTTGTAGCTGTTGATGTTTTACAGCAGAATGTTGTACTGCCACTTGCTATGCTTGTCGCTCTTTTCCCTTGTCATCCCTCATGCGCGGCCAAAGGCCGCGCCAACGAGCGGTGGCCGCCGCCGCCGGTTTTGGAGAGTGAACCGAACTGACCAGTGAAGAATAAGCTCACCAAGCATGGAACTGGGACCTCTATACTATAGAAACACTGCTGAAAACCGCTAAGGACTAGGAATAAGAGGCTGAAAAACGGCTAAGGACTAACCCCAAGCCATCTCTATGAGGCAGTCCTTCATTGATGGGTTCATAAGGATACAGACATGCAAGCAGTCTACGACCAACTTCCAGACAGATAGTCCTGCATAGACGGCACAGTAGCAGGCAAGCAAGGTAGCCACCAAGCAGAGAGACAACCAGTAAGTAGGCCGCCAGGTAAGCTGACAAAGGAGCTAGCCACCATGTGAGCATGCAGACAAACGAGCAGGCCAGGAAGCACACCAGCAGTCAAGCCATCACACGGGCAAGCAAGCAAGCAAGTGATCCTGCCTCCTAGCCGACCCAATAAACATCATGGCACCTACTCCAGCCGCCTACTCTTGATCCGCCCCTAGCCCTATGCCTGACCCCTCTGCCATGTCCCCCCCCTGTCCCCATCTCCGGCCCATAGCTCGCCCTCTCCTTCCCTAAACCAACAGTGTAAAAAAAACAACAGTGTAAAAACAACAACAGCTGAAACACCAGTACAAGGTGTGTGGCGTCACTGCTGTGATATGTCAGAATGAACAAGAGTGATTGAACTAGGAAAGAGTTGGGTACAAGTAGGAAACCCTAAACTTACTGTACCCCATAGTAACTACCCCACTACAGCCTAAACAAACTGTAGCCGATATAACATTTGACACACCCCCATAGGCAAAGTGGGGGAGAGCAAGGGGTCACAAGACTAGTCAAGAAAGGCAAAGCAAGCTCAGGGTGGATCACAACGTCACCACACACTCTGAGCACAAGCAAAGGGCCACAAGGCCAGTTCACATGCAGAGGCATATATGCAACACAAACAGCACAGTGATCTCTACCTAGCAAAGCAAGCATGCAAGCATATATATAGATCACAGTACAAGCAAAGCCTACAGCAAGTGAGGAAAAGTGGGCACAAGCCCTAGCATAGTGCAGAAACGCAGATGATCATGAGACTGAAGTGCCTTGGTAAATAGATCAGCACTGTTTGCCCGAGTGGCCACGTAACGCAGACGAAGCTGACCACGCTGCTGCAACTCTTGAGCCAGGAAGTAACGCAGAGCGATGTGCTTCGTTATGTGCTCCAGTCTGTGCTCCTCACACAACGCCATGGCAGCCTTATTATCGATGTACAGCACTGGAGGAGAACGAGGCCGCTCTTCCAAGTCGGTTAGCAGGTAGGTGAGCCAGCGTAACTCCTGTGCAGCCATGGTTGTGGCGTAGATCTGAGCCTCACATCTGGAGCTGAGAACTGAAGACGAGCGAGTAGAACGCCAAGAAACTGAGCCAGAGCCAAAGCTGAAGGTGTAACCCTGTGACGACCGCTGAGTAGCCTGGTCGTCAACCCAAGAAGCGTCTGAGTGCCCAGTGAGAAGTAGCCCCATGCCTGATGTGCTGCACAAGTAGCGCAGTACCCTCTTAGCGGCAGCCGTGTCCTCAGGTCGGTGCCGACCAAGAGCCACGTAGCGAGGCAGAAGACCAAGAGGGTACGCAAGGTCAGGACGAGTGCAAGTCATCAATTACATGAGGCAGCCAACTAGCTCTGGGTAAGGACCACTCGGCTCTACGGACTCGTCCGAAGGTGGAGCTGAGGGTGAGTGACCTGTAGCCAGAGGAGTGGCCTGTGCCGAGGACCAGGTGAAGCCGGAGCGCTGAAGGACCTGCTGCACCATATGTGACTGAGTCAGCGTGATGGTGCGGCGTGCTCTGTCCCGGGTGATCTGCAAGCCAAGGTAGCTGCGTAGTTCACCCAGGTCTATGCACGTGTGTCTCTTCTAAAGCTCCGACCTCACGTGGATGAGAGCCTCAGTGTCAGCAGTGGCAAAGACCAAGTCGTCGACGTACACGAGGATGTAGAACGGCGACAGCGACGTGTCGGTGCGCGGAAACAGCGACGGGTCAGCAGTAGAAGGCGCGAACCCAAGAGCCGCAAGTGTAGTCCTCAGTGTGTCGTGCCACTCACGTGGGGCCTGGCGGAGACCGTAGACCGGCCGTTGGAGGCTCCACTGGGTACCAGGAGGGAACGACCCAGTGAAGCCAGGAGGGCGGCGCAGCCAGATCTCCTCGTGCAGGCTGCCCTACAAAACAGTTGTGGTGAAGTCAAGAGAGTGAAGCTCGTAGTCGCGCTGAGCGGCAACGTGCAGCAGCACCCGAAGAGTGGTCATCTTCGGGGTGGGGGAGAAGGCCTGGAAGAAGTCTACTCCCTCTCGCTGACTGAAGCCACGAGCAACGTAACGAGCCTTGAAGACAGGCGGAGAACCTGGCGGCCGCTTCACCCTGAAAATCCACATGCGACTGATGATGTTCGCCCCAGGAGGGGGAACCTCATCGACGTAAGTGCCAGTGGACTTCCAGGATGCCATCTCTGCGTCCATGGCTGTCTGCCACTGGGAGGAGTACTCACCCGCAATCGCCTCAGCGTAAGAGCGCGAAGTCGGGATGTCTGGAGCATCCGGGTCTCCCTCAGGTGCAAGCAGCATGGCCACAAGATGTCTACAGCAGCGGCAAAGCACTCAAACTCCTCATTTCTGGCCTCAAGGACGTCCGTGCCAAGAGCACACTCACCCTCGACGGACGGAGGACAGACAGACTCTGACTCTGACTCAGGAACAAGACTCGCAACGTAGTCTAGACGACAGTGAGCAGCAAAGTCGACAAGCTCAGCAACTAAGGCAGACGCAGCAGCTGACTCAAAGGAAGGGTCAGTGACAGCAATGGCCAGGAGACGCGTGACAGTAGGACTAGCAGCACAAAGAGAGTCAAACTCCGGGTCAGCAAGGGCAGGAAGAGAGGACGCAGGAGGAGAAGGCAGCGGGACACGCTGTGGAGCAGTGGAAGGACGAAGGGCCATCTGGTGAGTGCCTGGGACAGCAGGAGGACGCTGACGCGAAACACGACGACCAGTGCGAGCAGCACGAACAGGTGACGCAGACCGACACTCAGGCGACACAGGACGAGACTCAAGCTCACGACGCTCAGTAAGACTGCCTGTCGGACCAGTGTAGGGAGAAGGACCAGGGAGTGGCGAGGTAGGCTGTAGCTGTGACTGCGACCGGACAGGCGAAGGACACTCTAAGGAGGGAGCAAGACAAGGAGGAGGCGGCTGACCAAGAACCTGCTGAAGGAAGGGAACGAAGTACGGCTGTGGCCGTGGAGTGCCCCTAGAACTAGCAGAGACAGCACCAGAACCTCCAGTAGTAGTGCCTATGCCCACAGCACCCCCAGCAGCTCCAGTACCTCCGGCAGCACCAGCAGCACCCCCAGCGGGACCAGCACCAGCAGCACCTTCAGCGCGACCAGCACCAGCAGCACCTCCAGCAGCTCTAGTACCTTCAGCAGCACCATCAACACCTCCCGCGGGACCAGCACCAGCAGCACCTCCAGCGGGACCAGCACCAGCAGCACCTCCAGCAGCTTCAGCAGCACCTCCTGCAGGACCAGCACCGACAGCACCTCCAGTAGCTCCAGAACCTCCAGCAGCATTAGGGCCTCCAACGGGCGGCACCAGAACACGAGAAGCTCCACTCCGTAGGCTGCAGCGTCGAGCGTACCACTCACGTAGCCGCTGAGGGGAGGGAGGCTCAGGACCCGACACTGCACCTGCGGGACCACCAGCCCCAACTCTAGTAGAACCCCCAGCTCCAGTAGCCCCACGCCGGAGGCTGTAATTCAGGGAGTACCACTCACGCAGCTGCTGTGAAGAGGGAGTACCAACAGGCGCAGCACTGTCAGTCTCAGAACCCCCAACCTCAGCTCCTCTAGGCTCAACACCCCCAGGCGCAGTACCCTCAGGCTCAGCACCCCCGATCTCAGCACCCTCAGGCTCAGCTCCTGCAGTCCCCGCACCCCCAGGCTCAGCACCCCCAGTCTCCACACCCCCAGGCTCAACACCCATAGTCTCAGTACCCCCAGACCCAGTACCACCAGGCTCAACACGCTCAGCACCTCGCGCAGGACTAGAGTCGACAGCTACCTCGACAGGATCGACCGGGTCTACCTGGGACACACTGGAGGGAGCAGCACCCTGGGGAGGGAGGGGGTCTACCGACGGGACACCTGGGGTGAGGAAGAGCGGCGGGGGGGGGGGAGCGGGGCAGTGCGGTAGGGGAAGAGACGGTAAAAGGGTACCGACTCGTCAAAAGTGACGTCCTGAGAGGGGAAGACACGACGCGAGGTGGGGTGGTAAAACTGCCAGCCAGGCGCGTCAGGGACAAAGCCAAGGAAGACACATGGAAC